CAAACAGCCATGTTCAAACCACAAGAGCTGGTCCAGCGAAGATTTTGCCCCCACGTGACACATCCCATTGATCACAGTGAGGTTCGCCCCAAACTCCAAAATCAACCAGAGAGGGATAATCAGGGGCCCATTGTCTTCCCTAATCAACGTCCCTTTCTCTGTAATCCTCATTGTCACACCACCAAGCGCGCTTTGCACCATAACAGTAGTGTCTGGTAAACATTCCCATGGAAAAAGCGTCCGCACAAGATGCGTAGCAGCTGTATCCACCAACGCCACTCTCCCTTCCTGCTGAAGCAGCCCAGAGCCACATAACATTCGAATACTGGGATCCCCGTTTGATGCCGACTGTTCTGATGACAGCTTCATAGATTTCAGCACTTCTAACGCTTCAACAAGGACCTGATTGGCCGTTGATGGCGATGAGGGACTTGCAGAACCTTTATCCAATCCCGCATTAGCCGTCTCATCTCCCCCTTCAGCTACCTCTGCCTTTTTGGCATTTCCCCATTTCGCACCTTTGCCGCCCTTTCCCCCTTTGGGAGAATTCCCTTTAGATCTACTCCTCTCAGGATTTGAGTCCACATTGGAACTTGCACCATCCTTATATGGACATTGCGGCTGCAGATGGCCAACGGCCCCACACTCAAAACATCTTCCTCGCTCAAGGGAGTCTTTGTCATGGCGAAATTTGCAGCGGGATCCGAACTTGCAACCTGCATCGGTCTTCCCATATATCCAACAGAAAGGACGTTCACCATCTCCGCTGTACCTTTTTCCTTTCCCTTTGCCTTTGTCACCCTCCTCTGTCTCGTCACCAGCTCCTTTTTGGGCCTTGTTTAACCTGGCCCTTTTCTTGGCGTCCGAGTCCTGCTTCACCTCTTGTTCACCAGCACTATGCAATAGCAGTTCAAACTCTGCCTGTAACATTTCAGCTAGTTTTGTCGCAGTTTCAGAGGTCGGCGAGTAGTCCACCCCCAATTTCTCCCGAAAGGATGCCACTCTGAAATGAACCGTAGGGTGTTTCGCCAGCAACGCGGATGACAAACCATCCAATCCCTTGATAAGCAAGGTAGCGTCCGGCTCAGCCGCTCTCAACTCCCTCAATCGGAAACGCCATTGCGCCCATTGACGCACTCCCTTTATGGCCTCTGAGATCGAGGTTGCTGGAGATGGTTGCACCAAGAAGTTCAACATTGTGCTGCGCTCATTTGCTCCACCTGGTTGGTAGACCGTCAGCAATTTGTAAAATATCATCACTGACCCCAACATTCGAGTGGAAACGATCTCGGTCTTCAATCTCTCCGGGATCGCCTGTAGCAGCAAAGACACCGCTCTCTGCTCCAACAAAACATGCACAGTTTGAGTTTGAATCACTTTGAGCCCTTCCAGCTCAGCCTTGATGCCCAACCTTTCCAGCGGAGAAACACTCAACCATTTGGCATACGCTTGATATGCCTTTGAGTAGACGCATTGCCACCACACTCTTCCTGTATCTGTCAGTGAAGACAACATTGGTTCGATCATTGCGATCCAATCACCCAGTGCCGTCGGATTGCTTGGTGTGTAGTCTGCCAAAGTTGGAAGGCTCATCACATGCTTCCCGAGAGCCTCCGGACGTTCGGTTCCAGAACTATCACCAGTGATTGGCATACCACGTGGCACCACTGCTCCAGGAGGTAAACTGACCCTACCACCAGGCCCTTGAGGTAGTCCATGTCCTATACCGGGCGCAACAGCTGTGAGCGGAACCTTTTCTAATTCCAACTTCCCAGCGACCATTTTCCACCGATACGGAACATCATCCACCATTGTATATCCACCCGATCCTGCTGAGTTCTCTTGCGTTGCAGTTTCCCGAGCTGAAACAAAACCGGGCTGGTTCCCCACAGGTGCGGCAGAACCATCAACACCTGACGGCACGGAAGTAATCGGAACATGTGTTAAACCAGGTGGTCCACTTGCATATCCACCACTCGCAGGACCTCCCGTGGGGTAATTCAATGGAGGCAATCTGGAGGGTTTCTTCCCTTCAGCTACATGCATCATTGGCACTTCTTTTTCATCCTCCACTTGAACATCCCCCTTCCTGGACCCAGGCAAGGATTGAAGATCACAACCCTTTGGCAGGTCGTAGCCCTCAATAGGCAGCCATGTCCCATCAGGCAACACAGTCCAAAAACCACCCATACCATCCGTGTAGAAAACTTGTCCTGGCAGGTACTGCTTCTCTGGAGTCATTCCTAGAGGATATGCCGTGTTTGCGTCCACCACTCCAGAGCTCCGTGCCCTTGAAGCTGACCCAGATGCAGCAGAGGTATAGCTTTTTTCCTCCACCCGATGCAACCTGTTCCCCAGCTCCTTTGTCTGCACAAGCAACTCTTTCAGCGCACGCTTCACCACCGCCATATCTTCAGATTGCTCTTCACCACTAACATCAGGAATGAGTTCTTCGTCGGCTTGCACTCCACCAATAGTACCTCGTTCCATTTGTCCCATTAAGCCTGACGATGGTCTCTCAACAGGTGCAGGTTCCTGACCCAAAAGATCTTGCAGCGAAGGCGGTCTTCTCGTACCTTCACCACTCCTATCCCCTCCGCTCGCGGGAAGACTTGCCGGCCTTGACTGCCTAAGTCTCATTTCTTCTTGAGCCCGCTCGCTCCAGAAAGGATTTGCTGCTTGAACCGGAACCACTTCGTTTTCCACCTGAGGCGTTGGTTGTATCATTGCAACCTCCCTACCATCTGTCAGTGCTTGTACCATTTGTTGTCGATCTTCACCCCCATCACCACGATTTCCTTCGGCTTCATTGGCCGTTGGCGACAGTCCAGGCTCAGAGCGACGCCGCATCATGTCCATGGCGTTAAACAAACGAAAAATCTTTACCAATTCCGCAGGAAGCCTAATTTGGGCTCATAACCTCCGGGGGGCAACCGAAGGAGGACAGGGAACAAAACAGTCAGCCCCAACAGAAGCCCTTGATTCCCCTGGAACAACCGAAGACAAAACCCAAAGCACAACCAAACACACCTTTTCCGTAGGGCGCATTGCCCACGTTTCTTGAGCCAAAAATATCCGGGTTCATTGACCCCTTCAACTCTCATCACCAACTCTTTTCTACAATACCAGTTGCAGCTCCGCATAGGGTTTTGGGGTTTAGGGTTTAGGGTTTAGGGTTTGGGGTTTGGGGTTTGGGGTTTAGGGTTTCGGGTTTCGGGTTTAGGGTTTAGGGTTTAGGGTTTAGGGTCTAGGGTCTAGGGTCTAGGGTCTAGGGTCTAGGGTTTAGGGTTTAGGGTTTCGGGTTTCGGGATTAGGGTTTTGGCCCTTGGGTTCAGGGTGTGTGGATTTCGTGGATCCGGTTTAGGCTTTAGGGTCTACGGATCCTTCCTGGAGTGTTGCTTTAACCTCTTGAAGCGAAGCCAAGCTTCAGTGTTTAGGGCTTAGGGTTACTAGGGTTTATAGGGCTTATGGGGTTTTAAAGGGTTTTATAGGGTTGCTATAGGATTGTTGATGGGGTTTTAGAAGGTGTTTATAAGGTTTTAAGAAGGTTTTAATTGGGCTTTATAGGGTTCAGAAAACTGAGCGTGCGGCCTCAGCATGAGTTGCAAGATGTTGATGGCCTTGCACATCGTTGGAATGTCCTGGCATGGACAGACGCCCCTAAACCGTAAACCCTAAACCCTAAACCCTAAACACTGAACCCTAAACCCTAAACCCCAAACCCCACACCCTAAACCCTAACAGCAAGCCACTCCCTCTCACTCTGTCCGGTCCCGGGAGTTCAAGGCTTTCCTTGGAAAGGCGAAAGCACAAGGCACAAGATCGCAGGAGCTCTACAAGAGGTGGGGGGGGGGGGGCAGAGTTTAGGGTTTTGGGTTAAGGGTTTAGGGTTTGAGGTTCTCGGTTTAGGGTTTAGGGGGGTACAACTTAAGCTGAATCTGAACTGAACCGTTGAACCATGCCCCACAGCCACCTTCTCCCTCATGCCTGCCAAGGTCAGCTACAAATTTGTCTAAGGGAGGCGAATGAAACTCATAGAATACAGGCCCTTAACAACTAGAATGGGGTTTTGAGGTTTATTCTGGTATCATTATATAAGGGACCCTAAGGGAATAAATACGATGGGCAATATATTCCGACCCCTATAGTGCCCAACTCGCATCCGAGCAGCTTGAGAGGGATGATGAGCGACGGCACAGCCGGGCAGATCAAAGAAGGCTCCTGGCTGCGTGCTTTGCGGCGGAGGCGGAGGAAAAGTGCCGAGAGGCAGGATCTAGCCAATCCTAAGCCCTAAGCCCTAAGCCCTAAGCCCTAAGCCCTAAGCCCTAAGCCCTAAACCCTAAACCCTAAGCCAGGGCTTCAGAGTAGGGAGTCTAAGGCTCTTTAGGGTTATGGATTTAAATTCAGGGATTTTAGGAGTTGGATTTCGCTTGGTCCCAGGATGGCCTCTCCGTGAGGGCCGACGACAACCGGTTAAGGGTTTAGGGTTTAGGGTCTAGGGTTTAGGGTCCCAGCAGGTCCTTCCCACGCGCGGCGTGAAGCATGTCCTGCCACCACTTGCAAAGGGGTTTGGGGTTTGGGGTTTGGGGTTTGGGGTTTGGGGTTTAGGGTTTAGGGTTTAGGGTTTAGGGTTTAGGGTTTAGGGTTTAGGGTTTCGGGTTTAGGGTTTCGGGTTTAGGCAAGCCAAGGCTCATTGCTGGGGACTCTCTATGAGAAGCACCCACCAAAGGGCACCGAATTTGGATCTACCTCCACAAAGCGCAGAATGCGGGCACCTTGTTTGAAAACACGAAGCACACATAGATGGGTACGCAGCAAGGCACAAGGCGTTTGACTCTTGGCCTGTCTAGCCACACGAAGTAGGTCTCCACCCCTCTTCAATTCGCTACGCCCGCAACGCAGGCAAGTCTGAAGCGGCGTGAATTCTTTGCATCACGCGATAAAACCTCATTGAGTACTGCAGCCTTAGGCTGCGAATCATTGAGTCGAGAGAGCATGCGTCACACGGAAAGCATGCAAGTACCTCAGGTGCCAGGCATCCAGCACAGGAGCTGCATGTCTGTGAGTCACACCCGTCATGGCAGCAAAGCCAGCAAGCCAGCACATGGGCGTCAAAGCACCTCATCTTGGAACCCTACAAAACCTCTAAGCCCCAAAGGGCGTAGTCCGACATCCCCTGAACCCTAAACCCTAAACCCTAAACCCTTAACCCTAAAACCTTGTAAAGCCCGTCGGGGCCGGCGCCAGGAATCAAAGAAGCAAACGCAGCGCCTCCACCTGGGTCTTCAAGCTTTACAAGAGTAAAGGGGTATAAGAAAATCTCTCCCATAAATACCGCGGTTTAGGTTTTAGGGTTTAGGTTTAGGGTTTTTAGGGTTTAGGGTTCTTCGGGTTTAGGGTTTTTAGGGTTTAGGGTTTTTAGGGTTTAGGGTTTTTAGGGTTTTTAGGGTTTAGGGTTTAGGGCTTAGGGTTTAGGGTTTTTAGGGTTTTTAGGGTTTTTAGGGTTTTTAGGGTTTTTAGGGTTTTTAGGGTTTTTAGGGTTTTTAGGGTTTTTAGGGTTTAGGGTTTAGGGTTTAGGGTTTAGGGTTTAGGGTTTAGGGTTTAGGGTTTAGGGTTTAGGGTTCAGGGTTAGGTCTATTGGGATGTTCCTCCTTGTACTAACCGTCCTTAGTAAGCCTTAGTAGAGATTAAGGGGGAAAAAGGAGGGACGCCTAGAAGGGACCCAAGAAGAGCTCTGCTTGTGGTTCATGGGGAGTTGTAGGGTGTTAAAGCACGGCAACTGTAGTCATGACCCTTAACCCGAAACCCGAAGCCCCAAACCCCAAACCCTAAACCCTAAAGCCTAAGCCCAAAAACCCTAACCTTAAACCCTAAACGCAAGTTAACACCTTAGTTCAGGTACAGATTGCCCAACTCTTTTCTCTACTCATGAACCACCTCCAAAGAAAAGTTTATGGGCATGTGGATCGGTAGGTAGCTTGGACCCCCTAAAGTCCCCCCCCCCCATCCCAATATGTACCGCTTTTTCTAAGTAACTGCCATGTATCGCCCCTACCCCCCTAAGCAGGTCAAAGCAGGTCGGAAAGCCTTTGTTGACTTCTCCAATAACCAAGGAATAAAACGGTTACGCTTCATTGCTCTTACAAAATACGGAAACCCAAACAAGCTTAAAGTCCGACCAGTGGCCAAGCTTAAGATGCCCGTAGCGTACCGAACTCCTGAAACAGCCCCAACCCCTCACCATTATCTGCAGGGGCTTACTTGGAGGCTCACGGGTACTTATAACTCCAATTCGAAGTCTACTGATAACCGATTTGGGGACTTAGGGGCTCATGAACCTCCCAGAGGGTTTAGGCAACTCCCTTGGCTCCATCCTCCTGACCCTGGGAGGCGTGCGGGCCCAGCGTGTTAAAAACTCGAGATCTTGGTTGGGCGTATCCTGCAGCCAGCAGGGTTTAGGGTTTCGGGTTTAGGGTTTAGGGTCTACGGGAAGGAACCAGGTGAGAGTCTGCCAAGAGGTTTGTGATGTTTTGGGGGCGGAGGTTTCGGGTGTAGTATGGCGGATCCGATCTTAAACACTAAACCCTAAGCTTCTGAACTGAACGCGGCGCCAGCTAGTAAGTATCCCCAAATACTACACTAAGCCCTAAGCCCCTAAGCCCCGCAAAGGCGTGGGTGGGCCCTTCGGCAAAGGGGGAAGGGGTTGGGGGGTGGGGGGGGTACCACTTCATTGCCCAGTTTCGTCATTTCAAGAGCTCCAGCCCCCTCCTGACCCGACCTAAGCCCTAAGCCCAGTACCCCAAGCCCGAAGCCCCAAGCCCTGAGCCCTCAGCTTTCTTTTAATTCCCTACGTGGCTGGATCACCTGGGCGCTAGCGAACGCTCTAAGGGTAGAACCTTGGCTGTTGGGGTACTTGAGGGGGTTTAGGGTTTGGGGTTTAGGTACGTAAGGGTTGGGGGTTGGTGCGTTGGTGCGAAGCCACTGTGGCCGCACTGCTTCTGACTCGCGGCCCGGCTGTTTGTGACTGCTTTCGACTTTGTTTCGCTGACTGTTGCCCCGGTTTGCTGAATGTTGCTTCTCTCGTTTGTGCGTCCAGGGGTTCGAGAGCGATTTCGGGCCTGGGTTGAGTGGGACTCCAGAATTTCCGAGTTCAGGGTTTAGGGTTTAGGGTTTAGCCTCCTGACACCTCTAAGCCTATCTAGGCCCAGTCCGCTTCAACCCTGACAAAGTTTTTTCTGAGTCTGGGATCCCCCCAGTGCCCCAGTAGAGGAAGCTCCGGAATATCGTAAAAGGTCCCAACGAGCTATAGAAGCCCCCCAGACCCTAAACCCTAAACCCATCTAAACCCCAGGTCTGCAGGTTTTGGGGGACAGGGGGCGCGCAAATCTTGGGGTGTTTGGGCCTTTGGGTTCAGGACACATTGGGTTGCAGACTGGGCTCTGCTGACTCTTGTGCTGGTGTTTAGGGTTTAGGGTTTAGGGTTTAGGGTTTAGGGTTTAGGGTTCAGGGTTCAGGGTTCAGGGTTCAGGGTTCAGGGTTCAGGGTTCAGGGTTCAGGGTTCAGGGTTTAGGGTCGGGAGGTTCGGGGGGGGGGGGGCCGGGCCCGTCCTCTGAAAACATGCCCCTTGCCTCTTCTTCAAAGAGAGGGGCCTTAGGCTCCGAGTTCTGCGTAAGCCCGGAGGCGTTCACTGCGTGGGCTCAGGGCTTAGGCTTACTTCTCCAAGAACCAAGGGGAACAAAAGGTTAAACTGTAATATTCCTACTAAGAAAGGAATTTCTTCAAAAAGTTAACAGTTCAACTAAAGGCGAAGTAAGTAGGCGCTTCCGCGGAGGCCTGGAGGAAACCAGGCCCTAGGGATGGAGCCCGTAAAGTTGCCCCTGTGCTGGAGGGAATCTGTTGCCAGGGGGGGAACCCTAAACCCTAAACCCTAAACCCTCAGCCCTCAGCCCTAAGCCCTAAATTCTCGTGAGCAGCAGGTAGAAGCGCGGGTTCAGGGGCTATCACCATATGGGGGTGTACGAAAAGAGGCGACCCCCAAAAAAAACCCAAATAGTGGGATCCCCTGATAATCAGGACCCCAACGAGGTGCCCCTGATTTCGAAAACCCCCCATGCATATGGGGTTTGGGGTTTGAGTCTTGGAGTTTAGGGAGGATGTGTTGGAGTTCAAGCAACAAGGGCTGAGGGTCCCAAATGAACTGAGTCCTGAAGTTTAGGGAGGCCTGGGGACGCGTTGGAGTTCAAGCAACAAGGGCTGAGGGTCCCAACCCTGAACCGAAAACCACGCCGAACCCACAGAAGACGCCTTCTCTATAGCCCTCAATCCCAGACCCCCAAAAGACCCTAAACTCTGAACCCTAAACCCTAGACCCTAAACCCTAAACCCTGAACCCTAAACCCGAAACATGCTGAGCCCCCGGCCTCCAGACTCTTGATGTAGGTAAGGTTGAACAAGGCAGGCCTGTCTAAGGGTAGATTCATGGCAATTTGACATGGTCCCTTACATCCTTTAAAGGGTTCTGAAGTATGGGCCCTTACTTGGTACAGGGTATATAAGGGGTATGTAAGGTCCCCTTTTAAGGGCCCATACTAAGGGATCATGTAACTACCCCAAAGGCTTAGGGTTTAAGGCATACTTGGAGGTTCATGGCACTTACAACCAGTCTACTTGTAGCCCACTTAGGGGACTTAGGGGGGGCTTCTACGTGCAGCTAGAATTGGGGTGACAAGTACCTTAGTAGCCCAGTAACCATATTACAAAAAGGGCACCTTTTTTGGGTTAGTTACTTTATACGGGAACCCATAACCAAAAAAAAGGGTAAAGGGTACCACTGGGCTACTAAGGTACCCATGGACCTCTGGGGGTTGAAAGCTCAGAGCTGAAGGCCGAAGGCTTTTTGGGTGCAGCTGTCAGCCGGCGGCATCTTGCAGAAGACTTTTTCTACGGCAAGCCAGACGACCAAGAAATGCCACAAAGGGTAGAACCCTACGCCCTAAACCTTAAATCCTGAACCCTGTAAACCCTAAACCCTAAACCTTAAATCCTGAACCCTAAACCCTAAACCTACACGTCACCTGACTCCCCGGAGTGCGGGCTTGAGGCTTCGGGGTTTAGGGCCCGAAGCCAACCGTCGGGGCTTGGGTTTCAGGTTTCGGGACGCGAATTTCGGGATGAGGGCTTCGGGTTTAGGGAGTTTGGTGCCCCCAAAACCCTGAATCCCTTGACGCTAAAACCCTAAACCCTAAACCCTAAACCCGGGAACTGAAGACCCGGACACCCAGATCGCGCCTCAACGGGGCTAGGGGCCAGCGGGCTGCCCCCACCTGCTACAAGCAAACACCCTACCTTCATTAGGGTTGACGGTCTAGGGTTTAGGGATTAGGGGTTTAGGGATTTAGGGATTTAGGGATTTAGGGATTTAGGGATTTAGGGATTTAGGGATTTCGGGATTTAGGGATTTAGGGATTTAGGGATCCCCCTTGCAGGTTCATGGGTAGTTGGAAGTAGGGTTGTTAGCAGGGTTTATGGTTGTCGGGCTCAGGGCTTAGGGCTTAAGCGTTTCAGGGCTTGGGCGTCCACGTATTGGGCGAAAGGATGAGTTCTTGCTTATATCTGTCTTCACGAAAGGATGAGTCCATTTAATGGTCTCTTGAACCCGAAACCCTAAACCCTAGCCCTAAACCCTAAACCCCAAACCCTAAACCCTAAACCCTTAACCCTTAACTTTAAACCCTAAACCCTAAACCCTACAAACCCAAAAGCCGGCCTTTTCAAACAGCTCCGACCGGGTGTCGGTTTCCTGCCAGGCTGGCTCAGGGTCTCCAGGGCAGGTTCCCTTAGTTAGGGCCCTTTTGGGGCACATGTGGGTTTTGGGTTTAGGGTTTAGGGTTTAGGTTTTAGGTTTTAGGGTTTAGGGTTTAGGGTTTAGGGTTTAGGGTTTAGGGTTTAGGGTTTAGGGTTTAGGGTTTAGGGTTTAGGTTAGGGTTTAGGGTTTAGGGTTTAGGGTTTAGGGTTTAGGGTTTAGGGTTTAGGGTTTAGGGTTTAGGGTTTAGGGTTTAGGGTGTGAGGTTTAGGGTTTGAGGTGCTCCAGAATAGAGAGCGCAGGCTGTGGAGGCTTCGGGGATTGGGCTCGTTGGGTGGTGAGTTTCGGGCTTGAGGGCTGTTGGCTTCGCACAGGGATGTGGACTTGGGATGGCGGACTTCACTTTCTCTGCATAACAGGAACAGAGTTTAGGGTTTAGGGTCTAGGGGTTGGGAGCCGCAGCAAAGAGGCCAAGAGCAGGGAGAAATCCAGCAACCCATCAGCCATCGACTATCAAATCACCATGGCAAGGACCGTCTTGGTCGCAGGGATTGCTGTCCATGTAGGCTGCGTACTTTGGTAGTTTTCGCTAGGAGTATACAGGGACTAAAAAAGGAGATAAGAGCTGGTAAGCCCCAAACCCTGAACCCATGTAGGCTCCGGTTTTACTGTTAATTCGACCCTGCACGCCCAGTCTTCGCCAGGCCTGTTCAAACGACTCCGACTTCTCTTTCGAGTTCCCAGAGTCCTCAGAATGAAAGGTTTAGGATTCAGGTCTTTGGGGTGCTGGGAGCTTAAAGATTTTCGAGTGCCATCCTCTTAGGGGCGCTTCTTACCTAAACCCCTGAACCCGAAACATTTCCGGGAAGGGGTTCTCAGGATGGATTCCGTTGCTGACTGTGCGAGCGGGATAGCGAGGAAAGAAAGAAAGTAAAAAAGAAAAAACAAACATGAAAGAACGCAAGAAAGAGAGCGAGAGAGAGAGAGGGAGAGAGTGAGAGAGAGAGAGAGCAACAAAGCCCTAAACCCTAAACCCTAAACCCTAAACCCTAAACCCTAAACCCTAAACCCTAAACCCTAAACCCTAAACCCTAAACCCTAAACCCTAAACCCAAACCCCAAACCCCAAACCCCAAACCCCAAACCCTAAACCCTAAACCCTAAACCCTAAGAGGAAGTCTCCTGTGGCACTGCCAGGACGTAAACCATATATATATATATACATATACATATACATACATATATATATATATATGTACACATATATTCTACGTACATACACTTACCCCCCGCAATGCTTGCACTGGTCTGCCGTCCTTGTCCAGACCTCCGTCACGGAGCAGCTGCTGGACCTGAGTCGGGGGCTTGTAGAGTCGAGGCTCCGCTTCATTAGGGTTTAGGGTTTAGGGTTTCGGGTTTTGGGTTTAGGTTTTAGGGTTTAGGGTTTAGGGTTTAAGGTTTAGGGTTAGGGTTTTGCACGGAATTTCAGGTTTCGGGAGCCATGACTCAAATCATGCCCGGGCACGTAGGTATCATTGAAAACGATCTGTGGAACGGCGTACCTGGCAGGAAGGAGGGGAGAGCAGGTGTCAGCTCGGCACAACTGCATGCATGCCTTGGGAAGAAATGGCGGTTTTGGGGCCTCAAGGTTCGGTCAGTTCTCAAACCCTTCTTCCAAAAGGAGTCGTGTGGTGGGGTGCATGTGTGTTCGCTTGCAAGACATGTGGATTGCGCGCAGGTAGCACTATGCTAGCACCACTGGTCCTACGGACGATGTGAACAGGGGGGGCGAAGAAAGGAAATGTCGAAGCCTTTCTGGGAACTCTAAACCCTAAACCCTAAACCCCTAAACCCCTAAACCCCTAAACCCTTGAACCCTAAACCCTTAAGCCCTAAACCCTAAACCCTGTTTGGGGCGGCTTGGCTCACTTCTCGACCTCGTAAGGTCTTCCAGTACCTCGGTCGAGCAAGGGGTTTCCTACAGAGCGCGCAGGTACCCAAAGCTGACAGCCATGAAAGCAGGAAGACGCGGACAACATAGGGTCTGGTTGTGTGTGTGTGTGTGTGTGTGTGTGTGTGTGTGTGTGTGTGTGTGTGTGTGTGTGTGTGTGTGTGTGTGTGTGTGTGTGTGTGTGTGTGTGTGTGTGTGTGTGTGTGTGTGTGTGTGTGTGTGTTGGTGTGTGTGTGTTGGTGTGTGTGGTGTGTGTGTGTGTGTGTGTGTGTGTGTGTGTGGTGTGTGTGTGTGTGTGTGTGTGTGTGTGTGTGTGTGTGTGTGTGTGTGTGTGTGTGTGTGTGTGTGTGTGTGTGTGTGTGTGTGTGTGTGTGTGTGTGTGTGTGTGTGTGTGTGTGTGTGTGTGTGTGTGTGTGTGTGTGTGTGTGTGTGTGTGTGTGTGTGTGTGTGTGTGTGTGTGTGTGTGTGTGTGTGTGTGTGTGTGTGTGTGTGTGTGTGTGTGTGTGTGTGTGTGTGTGTGTGTGGTGTGTGTGTGTGTGTGTGTGTGTGTGTGTGTGTGTGTGTGTGTGTGTGTGTGTGTGTGTGTGTGTGTGTGTGTGTGTGTGTGTGTGTGTGTTGTGTGTGTGTGTGTGTGTGTGTGTGTGTGTGTGTGTGTGTGTGTGTGTGTGTGTGTGTGTTGTGTGTGTGTGTGTGTGTGTGTGTGTGTGTGTGTGTGTGTGGTGTGTTGTGTGTGTGTGTGTGGTGTGTGTGTGGTGTGTGTGTGTGTGTGTGGTGTGTGTGTGTGTGTGTGTGGTGTGTGTGTGTGTGTGTGTGTGTGTGTGTGTGTGTGTGTGTTGTGTGTGTGTGTGTGTGTGTGTGTGTGTGTGTGTGTGGTGTGTGTGTGTGTGTGTGTGTGTGTGTGTGTGTGTGTGTGTGTGTGTGTGTGTGTGTGTGTGGTGTGTGTGGTGTGTGTGTGTGTGTGTGTGTGTGTGTGTGTGTGTGTGTGTGTGGTGTGTGTGTGTGTGTGTGTGTGTGTGTGTGGTGTGTGTGTGTGTGTGTGTGTGTGTGTGAGTGTGTGTGTGTGGGTGTGTGTGTGTGTGTGTGGTGTGTGTGTGTGTGTGTGTGTGGTGGGTGTGTGGCTGTGGGTGTGTGTGGGGTGTGTGTGGGGTGTGGTGGTGTGGGGTGTGTGTGGGGTGTGGGGTGTGTGGGTGTGGGGTGTGTGGGGGTGTTGTGTGGTTTGTGGGGGTGTGTGGGTGTGGGGGGTGTTGTGGGGGTGTGTGTGTGTGTGTGTGGGGTGTGTGGGGGTGTGTGTTGGGGGTTGGGGGGGTGTGGGGGGGTGTGGGGGTGTTGGGGGTGTGTGGGGGTGTGGGGTGTGGGGGTGTGGGGGTGTGTGTGGGGGTGTGGGGGTGGGGTGTGGGGGTGTGGTGTGGGTGGTGGTTTGTGGGTGGGGTGGGGGGTGTGGGTGGGGGTGTTGTGGGTGTGTGGGTGTGTGTGTGGGGTGGGTGTGGGTGTGTGGTGTGGGGGTGTGGGTTGTGGGTGTGTGGGTGTTGGGTGGTGGGTTTGGTTTGTGTGTTGGTTTGTGTGTGGTGGTTGGTGTGTGGGTGTGGTGTGGGGTTGTGTGTGGGTGTGGGTGGGTGTGGGTGTGGGTGTGGTGGGTGTGGGTGTGGGTGTGGGTGTGGGTGTTGTGGTGGCGTGTGTGGTGTGTGTGTGTGTGTGTGTGGTGTGTGTGTGGGTGTGTGTGTGTGTGTGTGTGTGTTGTGTGTGTGTGTGTGTGTGTGTGTGTGTGTGTGTGTGTGTGTGTGTGTGTGTGTGTGGTGTGTGTGTGTGTGTGTGTGTGTGTGTGTGTGTGTGTGTGTGTGTGTGTGTGTGTGTGTGTGTGTGTGTGTGTGTGTGTGTGTGTGTGTGTGTGTGTGTGTGTGTGTGTGTGTGTGTGTGTGTGTGTGTGTGTGTGTGTGTGTGTGTGTGTGTGTGTGTGTGTGTGTGTGTGTGTGTGTGTGTGTGTGTGTGTGTGTGTGTGTGTGTGTGTGTGTGTGTGTGTGTGTGTGTGTGTGTGTGTGTGTGTGTGTGTGTGTGTGTGTGTGTGTGTGTGTGTGTGTGTGTGTGTGTGTGTGTGTGTGTGTGTGTGTGTGTGTGTGTGTGTGTGTGTGTGTGTGTGTGTGTGTGTGTGTGTGTGTGTGTGTGGGTGTGTGTGGTGTGTGTGTGTGTGTGTGTGTGTGTGTGTGTGTGTGTGTGTGTGTGTGTGTGTGTGTGTGTGTGTGTGTGTGTGTGTGTGTGTGTGTGTGTGTGTGTGTGTGTGTGTGTGTGTGTGTGTGTGTGTGTGTGTGTGTGTGTGTGTGTGTGTGTGTGTGTGTGTGTGTGTGTGTGTGTGTGTGTGTGTGTGTGTGTGTGTGTGTGTGTGTGTGTGTGTGGGTGTGTGTGTGTGTGTGTGTGTGTGTGTGTGTGTGTGTGTGTGTGTGTGTGTGTGTGTGTGTGTGTGTGTGTGTGTGTGTGTGTGTGTGTGTGTGTGTGTGTGTGTTGTGTGTGTGTGTGTGTGTGTGTGTGTGTGTGTGTGTGGTGTGTGGTGTGTGTGTGTGTGTGTGTGTGTGTGTGTGTGTGTGTGCGCGTGCGTGTGTGCGTGTGTGTGTGTGTGTGTGTTTCGTTTTTGGCGGCGGGGAGGGGCTTCCTGTTTCGTTTCACAAGGTCTTCTATCAAAAAAGATACCAATACTCGGATCCTGTATTGCAACCACCAACAACACCAGCCCAAAGTAGCAAGGCTGAAGGGGGGGGGGGGGGGGGGCTGGACGCAGCATAGGATCTTATCATATTCAGGCCTGCATGATTTAAGAACTGCGATGCGTCTGGCACAGGGATTGGGGCTATAGACACACTGCATACCCAAGCTGACACACATCTGGTCGGGTCTCTAAACTAATGGTCTCTGCGCCCCCCCTTCTTTAAGAATCCAGAGAACTGGCAGATGTTCACACGCCTTCTTTTCCCTTTGGCAGCTGGCCTTTGGCTGTCACTTGCTGGGCAGTTTAAAACAGGCCATCGAGAGGAGCTCTCCTCATCACATCTCTCGGGGGTGTAGGGTTTAGTGTTTAGGATGTACGGTTTAGGGCTGTGCAAAACCTGATCCCGAAATTGTTGGTCAAGCCCCCTTGTCCCTGATCCGTAAACCCCAAGACCCCAAACTAAACCCTACAAAGTCACACAACGCGTGAGCCTGAAAGAGAACATCAATGCTTTCCCCTAGAACCACAATACCACTACAAACGCGAAAACTGTAGCAAAAATGGGCCATTCTCAGCACCCTAAACCCTAAACCCTAAACCCTAAACCCTAAACCCTAAACCCTAAACCCTAAACCCCAATCCCTAAGCCCCAACCCCTAAGCCCCGGTGTCAGAAGGTGCCGCAGCCCCCGGGCAGCCGAAAGCGGCGCTCCGCTGAGGCAGCGCTGTCAAGGCCCAGGTCCTCTGAGGGTTACGCAAAGGCGGGGTTGATTTAGGGTTTAGGGTTTAGGGTTTAGGGTTTAGGGTTTAGGGTTTAGGGTTTAGGGTTTAGGGTTTAGGGTTTAGGGTTTAGGGTTTAGGGGTTTAAGGGTTTAAGGGTTTAAGGGTTTAAGGGTTTAAGGGTTTACGGGTTTAAGGGTTTAAGGGTTTAAGGGTTTAAGGGTTTAAGGGTTTAAGGGTTTAAGGGTTTAAGGGTTTAGGGTTTAGGGGCCGAAGGTTTTAGGGTTTTAGGGCTTTAAGGGTGTGAGGGTTTTAAGGGTTTCATGGTATAGGGTTTCTTGGGGTTTAGGGTTTCGGGTTTCGGGGTTTGGGTTCGAGGTTTAAGGGTTTAGGGATGTTTGCCAGCTTGGAGATGTCGGGTTTATGGGCTTGGGGGGTTTCGGGGTTTGGGGGTTTGGGGCCCGAAGGATGCAGAGGCTTCAGGGTGCAGTGTCTTGGTGGTTCGGAGTTTAAAGGGTTTAGGGTTTAGTCATAGGGGCGAGGGGGATTTACGAGAAAGGTCGGGCTTAGGGCTTATAAGGGTTGCGCAACGGGGCTTAGGGTTATTTGACCGTTTAGGCTTCAAGCTTTTTCAGGGGCGCACAAGCTCAAGATACGCAATGGTTCTCCCGAGCTTTCCCTTTCGCATGTCTGCTCTAATCTGCGTCGCACACGTTTTAGCATTTGCGGCAACAACCGCTCTCACACCGTCATCAACAGTTTGTGGGTTGCCATGAGATTTTTTGGTGCCCGAAGCCTGACATCTCAAACTCCTCTCGGAACTTGCCCCATTCTCAATCAGAACAGGCAAGAGCTACTGGTTGCTTTCAGAACCTCCAAAAAAACACACAAAATAATAACAATCCCTACATTTCCCTTATAAGGAACATTTTTTTCCTTTTGAAGAATCCCTAGATTCCCTTACAAGGAACAGTTTTTGTTCTTTGGGAAGGGTTCTGAAGCAATGAGTAGAGAATCCGACATCGGGCGGGGCATCTTGGAAGCCCTGGGAATCCGAACGCATCCAAACTTCGAGGAAGCGGAAACATGGACCTGGAAGACTGCTTGGAGGTTCATGGGTGGTTATATAACCCCAATTAGGGTGTAGGGTTTAGGGTCTAGGGTTTAGGGTTTAGGGTTTAGGGATTGGGGTTTAGGGTTTAGGGTTTAGGGTTTCGGGTTTCGGGTTTTAGGGTTTCGGGTTTCGGGTTTCGGGTTTAGGGTTTAGGGTTTAGGGTTTAGGGTTTAGGGTTTAGGGTTTAGGGTTTAGGGTTTAGGGTTTAGGGTTTAGGGTTTAGGGTTTAGGATTCACGGGTACTTCGAACACCAATTTGCACGTCTACGTATAACCTACTTAGGGGACTTAAAAGTGCAACCATTTAAGTACCCACGAACCTCCAACCGGTGCCAGTTTGGATGCATCTGCGTTGCAATCGGCGGGAGGAAAGGTGCCGGATTCTGAGTATCAAATTATCAAAGGGTTGAAGCACAAAAGGAAGCGCAGCCAACGATTTGCATCTACCCTAAACCCTATAAACCCTAAATCCTAAACC